ACATGTGATGCTTAGATTGTGAGCTGTTATATGCATGTTGTCTAGGGACTTTTCTGCAAAATGGGTAGTACTCAGGAAATTAGCTAAAACGTTCTGCGGAAAAAAAATACATCTCGGGCCGGATCTGGTTGGCCCATCAGTGGGAGGGGGCGCAGCAGTGAGGCTCACCCATGGGCTTGGCCCGTTCGGTGGAGAGGAGAGAGGCCGGCAGGCTGGGCCTTGGAGAGGCAAGGAGGCCCATGCGAGGCGAAGGAACTGGGCAGGCCGGCTGCTGGGCTCGGTTCGCTGGATCTGGACCAAGTCAACGAGTGGCGGCCTCGTTCGTGAAGCAGGGCGACGGCTGCGGTCAACGCGAAGCGCAGGCGAGCGGGCGCCTCGTCCTCTGCTCGTGCAGGAGCGAAGCAGGGAGGTGGCACGGTGAGGGACTTGGCGAGGAGGGTCAACGCGGGCAGGGCTCAGTCGACAGCCATGCACGCTGCTGCTGCTTGATGCAGCCGTCGGCGAGGAGATGACGCAGGGGCGCGAGGTTCAGAGCTGTGCGGCGGCAGAGACGAGCGGGTCCTGGTGCGGGGCGTCGCCGGCGGAAACCGGCCGGGAACGGGCCAGGGCGGCGGAGGCAGGCGACGGCAGGGTCGGTGCACATCTCGTGGTCCTGCTGGAAACAGAGGAAGCAGAGGAGTGGAGTTGAGAGATGGAGGAGGAAGACGAGGAGAAAGAGAAAACAGGAGGAAGAGGAGGGTCGCGATGCTCATCTGCTGCTGATGCTTGGGTGGCCGGCGACCATCGCGCTAGGTGGGGCCTGGAGGAGCTCCTCTCCTCCGGATTGAACAGGGGAGAGAAAGCAGCAGGGCGCTGGTTGCTCGAGTAGGAGGTGGCCATGGATCAAGGGGAGAAGGTGATTGGCTCGGTGGATCGAGTGCTTGGGGTCGTGGAGAAAAAGCTCGGGCTCCTGTTGGTGGGTGGAGGAACTGCGGGAATGGATGAATCGAGGGAGAGGAGGCTGGTTGGTTCGGTGGCAAAATCGAGGAGGGGAAGGAGGCGCGGGTTGGCTCGGGATAGATCCCGATGAGGATGCGGCGGCGGCGGGGTAAGGGACAAATGCCCTAGGTTTTAGGGTTTGGTCCAGATTTAGACTAGGGGTTCTATATATATGGAAAGAGGGGAGTTTAGGGTAGATTTGGACCCTCCGATCAAAATCGGGCGGTTCAAGAAAAACTAGTTTAGGAAGCCCAATAAACAAAACGAAGACGTTTTGTAGATGTTTGGGGATGATCCGGACACAATGGTGGCGACAGTCCGGGTCGGGTCCGAGACAGCTTTTCGGACGCGCGCGCGAGGAGGACCACGGACTGACGAGAGAGCCCAGATTGGGCCTGATGGTAGGTAGTGGGCTGTGTAGACGGTCTCGAGCTGAGAGAAGAGAAGAGAGGGAGGCCCGGCGACTGTTTCCGGAAACCGAAAACGTCCGACGTTAGACCAGCTATAATGCCGCTATAGTTATCCATTGGTGCATCAAACAAACTCCGAATGCGATGAAACTTGGCAGGCGGACTATCTACACTATAATAAGACCGCACGTCAACTTCCATCCCATTCCGAGAATATTTTCCGGCCACTTACAAAATAATAATTCGGACATGACGTGGGCGCGTGCAAGTGTGTCTGGGCTCAGAACGGACAACGGACGGAACTGGGGGAACCCGGACTAATGCAAGTTTCAAAAACATGATGATGCAATGCACATGATGACATGACAAGATGCGACACGCTAGCAAAAGACAAGGCAACAATAGCGAATAACTGGAGGACACCTGGCGCATCGGACTCGGGGCGTTACAGTTGATTTGTTCAAGGAGAAAATTACTGGTGATATACATGATAAATTGTGTGCGTATTTTTATAGAGAAAAGTATACTTTTCGTCCCTTAATTTTTGGCGAAGTCTAAATTTGGTCCCCCAACTTCAAAATCGGACAACTTGAACCCTTAACTATTGAAACCGGACAAGATTCATCCCTGGTCATAGTTTTGACCGGTTTTGGTGCTGTCTCACCCCGGTTTTGACCGCGTCGACTCACTTTTTCCAAGTCTTAATGTTTTCAAATACGGGTACTTTTTTCAAGTACGTGAACTTTTAAAAAAATTGTGTTTTTTTTTCAAATCTGCATACTTTTTCCAAGTTCACGTACTTTTTTCAAATCCGCATACTTTTTTAAAGTTCATGTAGTTTTTCAAATTCATGTAGTTTTTAAAAATTGACATACTTTTTCATATTTGCATAATTTTTTTTGGAAGGAGTTCATGAATTTGAAAATTTTATGCAAACTTGAAAAGGTACGCGGATTTGGATTTCTTTTACGCAAATTAGAAAAAAAATATGTGGACTTGAAAAATTATGTCAACTTGAAAGAAGTATGTGAATTTTAAACAAAGTTTATGGATTGGTAAAGGAACACAGATTTGAAAAAAATACATGAACTTTAAAAGGTATGCGGATTTGAAACAAGTACGCGAATTTCAAAAACAATTCATGGATTTGATAAAATTAAACGAGCTTGGAAAAAATACGCTGATTTGAAAAAAGTGGGCATTTTAAAAAAAATCATGGATTTGGTAAAAGTACACAAATTTCAAAATAGTTTACGGATTTGAAAAAAGTATGTTTATTTAAAAAAACTACACGACCTTGAAAAAACTACTACCTGGATTTGAAAACATTATGTGAATTTCAAAAAGTTCACGGATATGAAAAAATTACGCGAATTTGAGTCAGCACCGGTCAAAAACTGAGGTTTGTCACCAAAACCGGTCAAAATCGAGACCAGAGACGAACCTTGCCTGGTTTCAATAATTGGGGGTGCAAGTTATCCGGTTTTGAAGTTGAGGGACCAAATCTAGACTTCGTCAAAAGTTGAGGGACGAAAAGTATACTTTTCTCTTTTTTATAAGGAAATAGCGGATGCACTGTTTCGGATAAGACCTCTTAAAGCCCTTGGAAGGGATGGATTGTCGAGACGCTTTTTTCAGAGGAACTGGGGTGTTAAGGAGTAGATTATACGAGTAGTTAAAGTTTTTTCCATAATGGAATCATGCCACCTGGTGTTAATGACATAGTCATAGTGATGAACCCTCTGGTAAAAGATCTGTTACGAGCTCCTGACTTTTGCTCCATCGGCTTGAGCAATGTGGTTTTACAAGATTATGTCTAAGTGTGTGGTAAATTGCCCCTGGCCTATTCCCGATGATACTATATCTCCTTTGGTGGCCTTCGAGTGTTTTTCATCATATTCAACATAAAATCCTGATAAAAGTTTTTGTACCTATAAGTTAGATTTGTCAAAATCCCATGACAGGGTGCATCGGAGATTCTTGGAGTTAGTGATGAAAAAGTTGGGCTTTTCTCATTGTTGGGTGTACCGGATCATGATGTGTGTCACCATGGTGAGGTACTTTTTTAAACTAAATGGAGCCCTTTTGGAATTCTTTGCAGTGCCCCGTAGGCTAAGCAAGGTGATCCCCTATCCCCCCTTTCGTGCCTCTTCGTGGTTGATGGTCTTTTGGCTCTTCTCCGTCAAGGTGTGGTCATGAACAAAATAAAGCATGTCAAAGTGTGTGCTCTGGCACCCGATATCTCCTACCTTCTCTTTGCAGATGATACACTTCCGTTCTTCAAATTCAAGCCACAACAAGAAGAGAATGTTAAATTATTGGTGCGATGCAAATGCGATCGATCAACTTATAAACCTAGGGAAATGTTCTATTTTCTTCGGGCCAAGATGCTCACCTCAAATTCAGAATGATGTCCGACGAGTATTCAAGTAATGCATGTTAATGGTGTCTCTTTTGAAGCAAAATATTTGGGGTTATCCACCACAGAGGCGATGATGCATAAAGGAAAATTCCAAAGTCTACCAGCTAGGCTTACTAAGCAGATGTTCTAATACGGTGATTGCTCAGTTGTCCAAGCAGGAAGGGAGGCTTTAATCACATCAGTTGCTCAAGCCATTCTGACTTATGTGATGGGAGTTTTTAAATTTTCAATGTTAGTTTATGACGATCTAACCCAAATGATGCGGAATTATTGTTGGGGATCCACTAAAGGCAACCGTAAAACGCACTAGAAGTCTTGTAAGTCTCTTATCCAATCGAAGCACACAGGAGATCTTGGTAAGATTTCCGCTTATTCGGCCAATATGACGAGAACACATGGTGAGCCAATAGCATTGTTGACATTTGTTCAGTCAAGCGCTTTTGTCATTTAGTGTTCTCGTCTTGCCACCATTTGTTCTTGTCTTGCCACCATTTGTTCACATGCGCGAGCGCCCTCGAAGCAGAGATGGAAGCATGCAAGGAGGGTATCACATTAATGACGGAGCTATCAGTTTTTTTAGTCTAGTTGTAGCTATCAGTCGTGAGCAGAATGTTGTCAGCTACGAGCTGATGAAAATTGGATGCACTACCCAAGAATAACGGTGTGGTTAATATCTAGTACCGACGAGATTCTAAAATTATGTGTTGCGGATCGAACTGATCCAGTTTAATAGTAATTAATAAATCTTCTTTTCTTGCAAAAATAAAAATAAAATTCGTGCGTTGCAGCCATAGGGGAGGCCGGAGGGGAAGGTGGAGGGACTTTTCAGCCCAATGAGCTAGTGAGGCAGATGTGTTTCGGCCCATGACGGTAACAACGGACGGCCGAGATTATCCCACCGACGTGCACGCACGGCTCTGCACCGATTGGCGGCCAGGACTGAGCGACTCCCACTGCCATTCTCCCCCACTCTCTCTCGGTGGAGCTGCATCTCCGTCAATCGGCGCGTGTGGTCGCCGGCTCGCCGCCGCCACGGCAGAGGACGCCTTCTCCCCCCGCCACCGCCCCTCCCATCGTCAATACCCGGCACCACCTACCTCTATCTCCAAGTCTCTGACCCCCACCACCACACATCCCGACCGATTCCGAAGGCAAGGGGAGAGAACAGGAGCTAGAGAGGCGGGGGGGCGATGGCGGTGGTCGGCGTTCTCGCCCTGCAGGGATCCTACAACGAGCACATGTCCGGTACGCCGAATCTCCTTCTCGCGTTTCTCGCGCGTGCCGGCGACGTGTTCTCTCGTGATTCCGTCGGGTTCTGTCTGGGCAGCGCTGAGGAGGATCGGGGTGAAGGGGGTGGAGGTGCGCAAGCCGGAGCAGCTGCAGGGCCTCGACTCGCTCATCATCCCCGGCGGCGAGAGCACCACCATGGCCAAGCTCGCCAACTACCACAACCTGGTAGGCCTTTTTGGTGTTTTCGTTTCTGCTGGATCATCAAACCTGAACTTCCATCTCTGTCGTGGCATATCGAGTACCTCAAAACTGGTTGGTAGACCTCCTGGAGTTTTGTTTCTGTCGTGGCATATCGAGTACTGCAAAATTGGTTGATAAACCCGTAAAGGCTCGGCGAAAGATGTCTGAAATGGGCTACCATGATACAAGATGATATTCGCTGGAGGGTGAGAAGCTAGATTCAGGTGATAGGATTATTTCTAAGTTATAGTTTGTCATAGGCGAAAATTGATTCAAGTGGATTAGTTTTCCACTTGTGGGCAATCAAGTGGATTAGTGAACTCCAATTTTTGGCATGTTCAGAGTGCTTAGTATGTCCATTTTGAACAACTCAACTTTGATCACACTGAACAAACACTCTCTGAATTGTTGTACTTTTCTCCTCTCTAAGAAACGAAATGCTTCCTTGGGCTGGACATAAGAAAACAGGACTGGATGGAAGGCAGATAATATTACTCTTCAATGGGTTGTACTGACTGCTGAGCATACATCTCAAAGGGCGCCGCATTTGATATTTCTGTAGTACTACCATATATTCTCGTAATTTTCTACAATTCCTCTGCTTAGTTCCGGACGGTGGCTGGGAGCTGCAGCAGAGCAACTTGCCACAAATGTAAATCATCACTGTGTTTTCTGCCTTGTTACTTATAAGGCACTAAAAATGTGAATGTCCTTTTTTCTCCATCTTCATTTATTGAGGATGAATTGTAGGCTTGTAGACCTGTGGTACAGTGCTGGCAAACTGCAAGCCAGTACATGTACTCTCTAAGGTTCTATAAATAGTTAGTCATGCAAGTGACCACT